ATACCATCTGAGGCCCTTGGCAAGTTCTTTGGATGGGGCCCTCCCAGTAAAAATCGTCACGTTGTAATTTAATTTTAAACCTAGAGTACTAACCATATTTTACAAAAGTTAGTACTAATGATCGTCGATTAGACGATGTCTTGTTAAAACCCTGTTGTTTGAAAAACAAAACTAAACTAAATGTTAGGTATACATAATATTAAACCTATAAATTTGAAGTTTGAATTTAATAATAAAACAACTTTTAGGTTCATAAAAACTCAAAAATGTTGTTTATTCAATATATTTCACATACGCTTCTATTTTATGTATTTTATATAAGCGTATCAAAAAAGGACTAAATTTTCTGCTGGACTTCACAAACGAGAAAAATATAAGGCAAAAATTAACAAATTATAATCGTATTAATATAAAAAACAATACAACTTTAATTAGAAATTAATTTTGCATATGAGACACAGGTCTAAACTTTGTTTCGGCGAGCAGTTAATGCAAAAAAATTACACTCCGATAGTTCAAACAAAACAAAATGCCTTCTCTCAATAATAGAAGATAAAGGACTAACCGTGTTTAAAATTTTATCGCAGTCATAATAATAGATTGGCGCTTACAGATATGTTAGTGTTTGGCGTAGTCCATAAAGATCGAAGCATTCCATAAACCTTTCCTATTGTATTGTTTTATTTCCATAAAGTCGTCAGTTTTGAATGTGTTCTTCTAAATACCGATGCACTGCGATTTGCTTAGATTCAGGACTAAACCACTATCGCATTTCTGAGTTCTAAGTCAGCATTAAGACTAGTGTAATTGACACAAGATCACAAATTTTAGTTTTGTTTTTGTTCTCCAGACGCCACTGACCAATTCCTATGTAGAATTGCTCGGTGATTCCAAAAATCTAGTATTTTGACGTAGAATACGTCTTAGGTTTCGATATGGAAGCTATGCTCAAATGTTGTAGCTGTAATTTTTAGAGCTTCACGAAAACGCTTGTGGAACAAGAACTAATGAAGCGATTTCACAAAAAATATGGTGTTTCAAACATAAAACTCCAAACCTATCGACAGATTCATTTTTGTAAGTAACCAATTCAACAATACAAATTACCATTAATTAGGTACAAACAAACAAAGAGATCTTAGATATATTTTTCAAAGCAACAATAAATGTTTAAAATAACAAAATAAATTCTACAAAGTAATTCCACACTCTTCCTGAATGCATGGCAATTTTTTTAAATTTAAACCTCATAATTAATTTAATATTTTTCTGATTTTTATACTCGAGCGCCCTGCACCTACCTGGCTACGACCATGCTTACACCTTTTCACTATCACACTTAACTTTGCTTACTAAGTAGTGTTCGCCACAATATGAATGGCAAAGTACAGGGTGTAAATAAAAACTGTCGCACAGGTTTTTTGAAAAATAAAATGGTCATTTATAGATTTTGCGAAAAGAAAGTATTTTATTGTTAACTTTGTAAATATTTTACTTTAATTTTATTAATTAGTTTTAAAATTTTAACCTTTATTTGCATTTCCCAGCTTTGGGAGATAAGTATGTACATGTCCTTTTCATGGGTATTTTTTTTTTTTAGAGAAACAACAATGTACCCATAATTGAAACTTGGGGAACGCATTACGTTATAGGTACACAGCTAGATATTATATTGCCAGCACATACTGCTTGTGAACGATCACCAATGTGCGATTTTACTAAATTTAAGGCCGTTTAATAAGTTAAATAAGTTTTTAAGTTTTAGACTTAGGATTTAATGGCTACGATAGAAAGAGTTAGAAAGGTAGCGTGATTGTTGTCGATGTTCTGTCTAATATCACCAGAAACTTTTATGAGTGCGTCGTACAACTTTTGTTAGACCTAAATCCAGATTAATAAGGGTTCAGCAAGGAGTTGCGACTTAAGTATAAGTTTATCTGGAGGTGCACAACGCGCTCTAGGACTTTGGATAAGAAGGGAACTATCTTAGCTCGTTTTCAGCTTTCCACACTGCTGCCGAAGTTGCCAAGATGGTATTCAGCGCAAAACTTACCTACGGTTGAATTTTAGGTAGAATGCACTTCGAAGAACGTAGCATTCGACTTAAGGTTAAGTATAGACTGAACAACTTCACAATCATTAACACTCTTGAAACAAAAACCAGAAGACGTAACATTCAACCAAACACTGCTCATTCACATTCAAATTTTCCGGCACATACATAAATGCTTTTGGTACCAATATTTTTAGAACTATTGCTACGCTGCATTGGTGTTCATAATAGCTAAGCTTTTGCTGTTTTATAGCTTTGGTAGCTTCTCTTCGCCGAGCCTTGAAATAACTGTAGGTTGTTTCACACCTAGATCGCTTCCACTTACGATACGCCGCGTTGCGCTTGCGAATCAGTTCTAATATATGTACATAATTGTTAAACCAAAGGGGGTTACGAACACTGTTTGATTTAGTTACGAGCGAAACAAATTCTTCGAAGACTGTATTAATATGGGTCTGAATGAAACTTATCTGATCGGTTGAAGAAACCAAGTTGTAGACGGATCCCCAGTCGGTAGCAACGAGAGCTACTTCAAGTTGCTTATAATCAATGTGGTGAAAGTCCCGATATGAAAACGATAACTCATTACAATTGTTCATGAAATCAAATGTTAGAAAGAAAAGAAGAAGAAAAGAGATTGTGCTTGGAAAAATTCGGAACGGAAAGTTGGCCGTAGATTAGTATTTTTGACATGTCAATTATGACTTTTTATGTATATATTTTTTTTTGCTGGCAGTATCACGCATTTTCTTCCATAGAAAGTATGTTCGAAAATATTTTTATATGGAAGAAAATGCCCAGCACCATAAAAAATTTGCCAAAGAATCAACGTCTTTTATAGATGCTTCAAACTTGCACTCCATCCTACTATAATTTAATGGGCTATAAAACTGCATACCTAAAATTTTTCTAAAAGCCCTGAATACAGTTAAGTTTTTTGCATCGAGCGTTTTTCGACATATCGTTACTTTATCAGTAAGTAATGACACTCAATTACAACTCCATATGTATGTGGTAATATTAGATCGTCTATAAGCGTTGGCAAAAAAATAAGGCAAAGTCAGCGTCAATGACAGTGCTATGCTAAAAATGCTTTTCGTTCATACTTGCACACATTCCAAATGCTTTAGACTTGCAAAATTACACGGGTGGTTTGGAATTTTGACCCTTTTCGTTTGGGACATAACCCTCAGAAAAAAATTGGGTTTATGCCACTATACATATCGTCGTTTAAAGTACAAAACTGCGTATCGTCATTCTGCAAAACCGCGTAACTGACATTTGCTGCCAAAAACTGGGTTTGCTCACACAAGCTCTTGGCTCAATCCTTATCCATTCGTCCTGAAATATACTAGCCAGAAATATGATAGCTTTATAAATAAAATTATAGTTTAAAAAACTAAAACCTCCCTATTATAATTGCCATTCGTACTGTCATCAGTTATGTAACTTGAGAATAGAAATCGCTGCATCTTTTAGGCGCATCAATATTACATAGTTACATACATCCCGAGCTAATAAAAGGAAGGTAAGAAGGTAATAAAAAGAGAACCATTTTTAAATATAAGAGTTTTTACTCTCTAGAAAGTAATTTATGCAACCTCACGTACGCAGTTTTGCATTTTGTTGATACTCGGTTTTGTACTTTAAACGACGATATAAGGCATAATTTTAAATTTAAAAATTGGTATTATGTGACTGACCAGAAGTCCATTTTTTATATGGGATATACATAAAAAAGTGGATTTCAGGTAAATTTAACCAAACCCAAAACGTAAAGCATCTCGACTTCGTAATAAATATTTTTGCGTTTTGCAGTAAAAAACATTTTCTTATACTATTTCCGAAGGGCGGTCTAGGACACCCTGAATATACACATAAATATGTACAATCTATTAACATTAGACTGCATCACCAAAAAAAGTTGCGGTTTTTGTGCCGGGATTTTAAAACTTATCATATTTTAAGACGTCCACCAATATATTTCGGAAAAATATTAAGATTTAAGCGAGCTGGACCGATTTGAAAATACGTCCAAAAATGGAGTTTTTTATGAATAAAAATAGTTTCTTAAAGAACTTTTTGAAAAAAGTGTCCTCAGATGACAAAACAGATTAAGTTAAAAAAATCTGCATAAAAATATTTAAAAGTCTTTTCAATGGAATCGTAATAATGATATTTTTGATGCTGCTTTTTTACTTCTTTCATAGATTGATTAACGAAAAACTTGAATAACTGGGCCAAAACTATTCTGATTTAGACTTACGGGATCTCGGTAGAAAAGTATTTTCCCACTATTTTCATTTATGTGCAAAAAAAATGTGCAGCCCAGTTTTTTTTTTTCAAATACCAACACGTCTTAATTCAACTTTGAATGACGCTCGTTCATCCTACATTTCTCTTTAATCCTTTGAATGAGTTTATTAGCAAAAAGGGTGAGAAAATACCTATCCAATTATACCCCACAAGTCTAAATCGGAAGAGTTTAGGTTCAGTTAGTCAAGTTTTACTTATAACAATCTTTGAAAAAAGTTAAAACCAGCATCAAAAATCTCATTATTACGATTCCGTTCAAATCTTTTTTTTTAATTTTTTAAAAATATTTAAGCAAATTGTTTAAGTTTAAACCGTTTTGTCATTTGAGGGACTTTTCCAGAAAACATCTTTAAGAAACTATTTTTATTCATAAAAAACTCCCTTTTTGGAGGTATTTTAAAATCGGTCCAGCTCACGTACATCTTAACATTTTTTCCGAATTATTTTGGTGGACGTCTTAAGATAAAATAGATTTTATAATTCCAATTGAAAACCAGTACCGATTTTTTTTGTATGGGTAGTGATGCAGTCTAAGAAACATATGTACATACTAAAATTTCAATCCATATTACATAATGTCTGCCATCAAAGTTCCAGCTAGTTAAGTAACAGATTCATTCAATTAACTTACCCAATGCATCACAGGGCGCTCTTCGGTGCAGACGCCCATGTGCGTCTTTTGGAATATTTCAAGGTTTGCTGTCAAGGATGCTTAATAACGGCACTAGTTTCCGTCAAGGCAATAAACCCACTACGATATTCCTGCAGCTACGTTGGGCACAGGTCACCACGGAATGGGTGTATGATCAAGAACGGTGGTAGGTTGCACTTGCGGTAAATTACCTAATTGATAACTCGGAAACTCTGGTACACTCATCCAGGCTCACCAAACATGAATAACTATTATAATGATTTTAAATTTACGTTTTCTGTATAACACTGTGTTGGAGGTCGTGTCACAACAGGAAACACTTGCCGGGGTTTCGCTTTTACACTTTTGCTTTGAGGATGTTAAACTTTCGTAGCAGGTCGTTTCAAATGGTTAATCCGCGGGACATATGCACATAGGTACATAAATACATACATTCACGCACTGTAAGTAGGAATGCTGACATAAAATACATCTCAATTAAAAACGCACTGAAATCATTAAATCCCTGCGAATGTGTGTAAATATGTATGTATAAGGTGCTTATAACAGGTATGCAAGAAGTTGACCAAGGCAAAACGGAGTAAGAAGCATAGATACGGGTTGATTTATTTTATCACAAAACACTCGCTCACTCTTTTATTTTGATTTATTTTACAGGTGACATGTAGTTTGAAATGTTTGTCATATTTATTTCCGGCGGTTGTACTTTTTTGTGTACACACCTATAACGCGCTGACTTCATTGAGGCCATAACAATAGAGGATGAATTTGAATTTTTAACTTCCCATAAAAGTCATCATTAACTTACGAGCAGTATTTACTAGTGTTGGGAAGTATCGACTACTTTTGAGGATCGAGTTCTTTGGTATCGATACTTTTAAGGATCGGGTATTTTTCAGAGTACTGAGTACTTTCTTTAAATATACACATGTTGGTAACATTTCCATACTCAGGGCCGTTTTCTCATCTATCCTTTAGATTACCGGCCAATTTATCGACTCGATATACGAGTTTTCGTTTTCTCTTCAGCGCATTTATTTCTCGAATCGATAAGTTTTTGCTCACCCGATGCAACCTTTAAAAGTTTCTACCCAACTTTAAATTTTGGTTTGGTTTTAGTTCATGAGTCAGATATATTAGATATTTCAACCAAGGTTTTGATTTTTGCTAACAGTTGCTCGTGCTCTATATTTGCTTATGTTGCATTGCCAACCTTTGAAATTTTAAGACGAATGTAGTGCAGTTTCACTCTCGCGCTGCCGTAATTACGGAATAACAAATTTATTTTTACCGGTAAGATAAGTAAACGAAAACACTTTAAAGTGAGGAACAATTTAACTGCCCTGTTAGTAAAGGCAACTTTACTGCTTACATTAGAAAACGGCCCTTAGTGTAGAAATCTCACAAGCTAGTAGAATTTTATTTAAATTAATATATGAATCCCAAATTACGTCAAATGAATTGCTAACTGTACTGGGTACAAGTATTGTACTTGAAAATTATTAAACTGCAAACTGTGTACAATCATTTCTGAATACCGTTAAATGCAAATAAAAGTCAGTACTTTTTAAGTCTATTAGACACTTAATACTGAGTACTTTGAATCGATTCTGAGTACATGTATCAAATCGATTATTGGAACAGGGTATTTTTTAGTACTGAGTACTTTCGAGTTCTTTTAGGTTCTGAGAACTTTCGAGTTTCTTTTTTGAGTACTGAGTACTTTCGAGTTCTTTTGTGAGTACTGAGTTCTTTGGAGTACTCAGTATCGATACTTTTAAAAATCGGGTGCTGTCGATCCTTTTCAGAATCGAGTTCTGAGTACTTTTGGTATCGATACTGCCCAACACTAGTATTTACAATTAAACGTCTATGTTTGTATGTACGTAGGTACATACATACATATGTATTAATGCATTAACACTGTGTATATACGCATATATGTATATGTACATATGTACGTATGCATATGTATGTTTGCTACATACATTTGTAAGTATGTATTTGTGAGTATGACGAGGTAAATATTTTTAAGGATGTTGTATATATTTGTCACATGTGCATAGGACGACCGACCAACAATAAACGGCATGTCTCTTAATCAACCGAAATTCTCACATCGGCACTTCTAGGCGGGCGAACAACTTTAAGCGCCTAAATGGAAACGTCATTGCTGACAGTTTTAAATTCATTTAAGGCATTAATTTATGACTGGACCGTCCGCCTTTGCACAACCACGCAATACCATCCGTAAGCAATAAACGGCCAACAAGAATAGCAACTGTTGCAACAACTACGGCTCCATTAAATGCGGTAGCGGACAGCCAGCAACACCGAATTTTTAATGGGAAGCTGCTGACAACTATTAGCCTAACACACTGGCCGGTCTCTGAATGAGATTTCAACCTGTGATAAAATATTAGCTCAATTGTATATGTACATACATGAACGTGCTTATGCATTCACTGCCATCATACATACATGCGTCTGTATGTACATACTTATGTAGTGCAGTGTTGCCACAAATGCACTTTTCCTACCAAAACTGGTCGATTTTTTTTTATTTGGTAGGCTGGTAGGCTTTAATGGATTTTGGTAGGTTCCGTGACAATGAGTAATAGTTATTTGCGAAAAATAAAAAATATGTATCTGCAAATATTTTAGCAACCTTTTTTACACGAATATTTCAGCGGTGCGTTCATATAACGGCGGCCGCAAACATGTAAATAATCCTGATTTCTAAGTACAAACTTATTATTGTCGATATGCAATATGAACTCCATATAAACTTTATGGCAAACTTGAACCAAGATTTCAGAAAAGTCTGCCAATGGGCTCCAGGCGGAGCTCTTCGGAATCGATGTCTGTGTTCGCGAGTGTCATCGTAGAAGCCAAATCAGGCCAAAATAAATATTATGTGGGATATTCAGGTTAAAGACCTTAGACTCTTTTAAAATGGCATCATGGCTTGTGAACTCTTTAACCACCTGGGAGCCCACAATAGAGTAACGCTGTGGTAAGTTCCGGGTCATGAAGGGTTTGAAGGCAACGGAAGGGCTGACTGACTCGCAAAGCGTGGAGACCAAATGCGCTTATATGATCCCGAGCTATTCAGTGGTACATCTAAAGGATATACTGCAGAACTACTTAGGAGCTAGCTGGAATAATCTCAGATTGCTGCCCACTGGCGGAAGTCAAAGCCAATAATACAATCAAAGAGATCTATAGCTCTTTCCAGGAGGAACTCCGAAAGGCTCCTTGAACTTTGATCTCTTACTGGATACCTGAGAGCACACTGCAAGTTAACGTACCATTTAAATTAGATGGGTCTTTCTGTAGAAGCGGACTGTAGGTTTTTTGGGCTAGTGGAGGAAAGCCCAGAGTATATGATTGATACACATTGGAGAACGAGTGTCTTCTCCATCTAAAATTTAGAACATAGCTTCACTCGAAGTGCTTAGCGTTTAGCACAATATATCTTCTTAGATCGCAGCGCAAGTACAGTAAAATGAATTGCTATACGCAGTTTATTTTTTTTTTATTGTACTAGCTCTGTTTTAGTTTTAATAAATTTTATGTTATCTGTATTTTTAATAAACTTGACATTGGAAAAAATATTAAAAACTTAAAAATATGTTTGGTAGGTTTTGAGTGGTTGTAGTAGGAAATTTTGGTACAAAAAAAAATGTGGCTGTGGCAACACTGGTAGCTGTAGACACTAGGCGTGCAGCTGTGTGGCGATGACTTCTAAGTAGTTTCTCGTCTGGACGCAATCTTAAGATCACGGTGGAAATTGTTCGCGGCCTTTGCTGATGAATTTGTTGATTGTGGCATTGGCTCTTCTAATAGTGAATAGGCGAATCGTAAGTGAAAGTAAATTCATAAATATGTACATAACTGTGCATATGTATGTATGAATGTACATTTGCGATTCTAATGTGAATACATACACTCTCTTTTCTCGTCCAGTTTACGGGATTTAGTCAAAAGAGGTCCCCGTATACATATTTCAAATATATTCACTAATATCTTCCGAACTAAATTCTGCAAACCGGACGAATAAAAGAACAGGCTAATAATATATGTCCCTATTTACATACATTCATACACATGTACGCACTAGGGATGCCAATGCCGAGATCATGGTGTTTTTGAGGTCACGAAAAATTTGAAACATCGAATTGATAGTAAGAACTTGTTTATTTTACTTTTGTAAAATGCCGGTTTGACTACAATTAACAAAAAGCCTGAAACTGTACTTTTAAATTGTAGCCCGAGCTTTTTTTTAAGAAGTTTTAAATGAATGTACTTATAGCGTCGTAAATGTAAACGAAATAGAAAGGTTTAAGGAAAAGTTACATAATTTTTTAAACCTTCCTCAAATCGAAAAACTTATAATTTATTCGACTTGCTGGTATAATTATATGGTACAATTATTTTGTAATGGAGGAGATAGACGTCATTATCTTCAAATAGCTTATGAAAGATGTTTTTCATCAGCAGGTTTTGTATGTAACAACTTCTTGCCAAGATTAGAAGACTCCGCTTTCAATGCTTTGCTGCTCATACGTACACATTTTAAGTGCAATAATAACAACACCGTTAATTTCACCCACCAACGTTAATTTCGACCCGCTGAATCCGATTCTTAGGTCCGTTTGACTCGTAAAACCTAACAAATTTCGAGTAAAATGCGGAAAAAAAGTGGCTAAATCTTCGTTACTAGCCATTTCTTTATAGAATAGAATAAACATTTTTAGAGAATTTGTTTTTGTATAATTTTGTTTACAGTTTTTTTTTCTGTATCATTACTTTCAAAAGTACCTGGTATTTACATTGTTATCTGTGATGCATGCGTTCCTCAATCAGATGGTTTTTAAATATAATTTCAAAAATGTGTTACTTTAAGATTTTGTCTGTAGTAATAAATATGTGATTTTAAAAATCAATTTATCTTAAATTTTAAACAGCTTTATTTCAAGGTATGTTTGAATGGCATCCCTAGTACGCACATATGTGCATATGGATGATTTTTTGTGGAATTGCCCAAATACATATAGTTCTAGGCACAGAGGCCTTGGGAATAGTCAAAATCTTGTTCTGATACCAAAGAAACAAAGAATTCAAGCCGTGGCTGCTTATAGAACACAAGTGCACAAAGTCTGTTTGATAATTTTTTGTTTGGAAGAAACTGCCAAAAATTAACGCGATTTTTTACCAACTTCAACCTGGCACTTACTTAGTCATACTACAATGACAACTTGTATGCAAATTTATTGAACTTTCCTGAGTTTCGCACAAAGTTAGAGATTTTATTTTTATGTTTTTTGCTTTAGTATTAAATATATTTTTAATAAAAAAATTCGCGGAAAATTTTAAGTACAAAATGTTGCACATGTTGTATATAGAAACTTATAATTTGATGGGATTTTTATTTCAATTTTAATTTGTCTTTTAAGTTATTTAAAAGTATTATCACTGAAATTTTGTTGATTTCAAGAATGCAAAAGTTGGCAAGTCTGGTGTAAGCACCTGAGTTAAGCAAACGTCCCAATGGCTGGTTTTCAATAGATTTTTTTTTTGAAGATTCACATGCAAATATATTTTGCCGATTAAGAACTTGTGTAAAAAAATTTACGTTAATTTGGCAGTGTAAACCAAATAATTTGAAAAAAAATTTTATCAGCTTCTTTATTGATACCACGTGTTTAATATGCCTTGGCCTCATCGGTCGCCACGATTAAAAATTGGCTAAATAGCGCAGGCACAAGAGTGGGAAGAAATAGAGGAAGTAGCGCTGAGAATTGGCGATCACGTCATTTCGACGAGATCTATAATTAAGTACAAATGTATCACAATTTTTTTTAAGTATCAGAGTATCAAGTTCGAAAAAACTGTTAAGACAATGCTACCTTTGCTATTTATTATCGCCAATAACCAAAAAATCATGTAACGCACATGCATACACATACTATGTATGGGCGTCGCTACGTAGGGGCAGGGGGAGGGCTAGTAGGTATACAATCTTCGATTACTACCGCAGCGACCACAAAAATGCAGTTGCCAATATAGCAACTCAGTTGCCAGCTTGCAGTTGTCATCTAGAAAAGCATTTCAGCCAGCGGCCACCCAACCTTAGTTAGGCCGATCTGTAGCAGTCACAGAACTGAGCTATATATCAAACTAAAGTGCAAGCTGCAGTTGCAGTTGATCGTGTTTGTCAAAAAAGTAAAAAGCGGCAGAAAAGTCGATAGTAATATGAATAAATATAATCTATTGAAAAATATTAACCATATTTCCGTGGAATTGAGATTCGGAAAAGTTATTAGGTATAGTTTTGAAATATATTTCCCGAAAGCAAAAAATAAAAATAGCTTAAATCCTCAACTTAGAACCTCAAACCATTACACATTTTTGTATGTGATTTTTAAAATGAACGATCCAAAATTAGCTGGTGTACATATTTAAAATTTTTTAGAACCAGTGGTTGAATTTTTGTACTGAAATCTAATCTAATTTTAACACAAATTTTAATTTTTATTTTGTTTTAAATAAATGTGTTTATAGTTATTATTAATAAAACTATGTTTTATTATTAGTCAAACTCACAACTTCAATATTCTTTAAAAAAATTAAGACAGGACTAAGTATATTTAAGCTCACAGGTTATCTTTTAAGTACATAAGCCTCTACGGCGTATGTTAAGGCTTTAC